GAAGAAGTTACAGGTCTGTGAGAGACAGAAATCTTGTTTGTTTGTAGGTGACCAAATACTTATTTTCCACCATAATTTGCAAATAAATTCATAAAAAATCCTACAGTGTGATTTTCTGGATTTTTTTTCCTCAATTTGTCTGTCATAGTTGACGTGTACCTATTATGAAAATTACAGGCCTCTCTCATCTTTTTAAGTGGGAGAACTTGCACAATTGGTGGCTGACTAAATACTTTTTTCCCCCACTGTATATATATATATATATATATATGTATATTTATATATATATATATATATATATACATACATATAAATACATATACATACATATACAGTGAGGGAAAAAAGTATTTGATCCTCTGCTGATTTTGTACGTTTGCCCACTGACAAAGAAATGATCAGTCTATAATTTTAATGGTAGGTTTATTTGAACAGTGAGAGACAGAATAACAACAAAAAAATCCAGAAAAACGCATGTCAAAAATGTTATAAATTGATTTGCATTTAAATGAGGGAAATAAGTATTTGACCCCTCTGCAAAACATGACTTAGTACTTGGTGGCAAAACCCTTGTTGGCAATCACAGAGGTCAGACGTTTCTTGTAGTTGGCCACCAGGTTTGCACACATCTCAGGAGGGATTTTGTCCCACTCCTCTTCGCAGATCTTATCCAAGTCATTAAGGTTTCGAGGCTGACGTTTGGCAACTCGAACCTTCAGCTCCCTCCACAGATTTTCTATGGGATTAAGGTCTAAAGACTGGCTAGGCCACTCCAGGACCTTAATGTGCTTCTTCTTGAGCCACTCCTTTGTTGCCTTGGCCGTGTGTTTGGGGTCATTGTCATGCTGGAATACCCATCCACCCACCATTTTCAATGCCCTGGCTGAAGGAAGGAGGTTCTCACCCAAGATTTGATGGTACATGGCCCCGTCCATCGTTCCTTTGATGCGGTGAAGTTGTCCTGTCCCCTTAGCAGAAAAAAACCCCCAAAGCATAATGTTTCCACCTCCATGTTTGACGGTGGGGATGGTGTTCTTAGGGTCATAGGCAGCATTCCTCCTCCTCCAAACACGGCGAGTTGAGTTGATGCCAAAGAGCTCGATTTTGGTCTCATCTGACCACAACACTTTCACCCAGTTCTCCTCTGAATCATTCAGATGTTCATTGGCAAACTTCAGATGGCCCTGTATATGTGATTTCTTGAGCAGGGGGACCTTGTGGGCGCTGCAGTATTTCAGTTCTTCACAGCGTAGTGTGTTACCAATTGTTTTCTTGGTGACTATGGTCCCAGCTGCCTTGAGATCATTGACAAGATCCTCCCGTGTAGTTCTGGGCTGATTCCTCACCGTTCTCATGATCATTGCAACTCTACGAGGTGAGATCTTGCATGGAGCCCCAGGACGAGTGAGATTGACAGTTCTTTTGTGTTTCTTCCATTTGCGAATAATCGCACCAACTGTTGTCACCTTCTCACCAAGCTGCTTGCCGATGGTCTTGTAGCCCATTCCAGCCTTGTGTAGGTCTACAATCTTGTCCCTGACATCCTTGGAGAGCTCTTTGGTCTTGGCCATGGTGGAGAGTTTGGAATCTGATTGATTGATTGCTTCTGTGGACAGGTGTCTTTTATACAGGTAACAAACTGAGATTAGGAGCACTCCCTTTAAGAGTGTGCTCCTAATCTCAGCTCGTTACCTGTATAAAAGACACCTGGGAGTCAGAAATCTTTCTGATTGAGAGGGGGTCAAATACTTATTTCCCTCATTAAAATGCAAATCAATTTATAAAATTTTTGACATGCGTTTTTCTGGATTTTGTTGTTGTTATTCTGTCTCTCACTGTTCAAATAAACCTACCATTAAAATCATAGACTGATCATTTCTTTGTCAGTGGGCAAACGTTCAAAATCAGCAGGGGATCAAATACTTTTTTCCCTCACTGTATATATACCCATAAAGCTTGTTTGTTCCTGATATGTCATTTGAGGTTAAATAAGATATTGCCGACTATCACTGCAACAGAGACCTATGAGACAACACAGTTCAGTATGATTCAGATAAGATACTCTTATTACAAACAGAGAAAATAATTATCTATCCCTTGTTTCCAATGTGATTTATGACAAACCAATTAATAGCACAATGGCAACAAAATAATTAGTCAAACTTTTGAGAACTAATATCTTGTAAAATGAAGCCAGAGGAAAACTCCCCAGTACAAACAGACTAGTGTTCGTATTTGAAATGAGTTTAAAATAATCTAATGCGCTGTGACAATTTCAGACAAAAAAATACAAAGCATTTGTTTTTTTAATAAAGAATAAAAAAAGCCAGCATATTTACAAAACAATAATATTGACTATGATTCTGGCCTGCTTAGTACTAACAAAGTACTGCCCATGTAATTTTCCAGTTAAATACAATTTTCAGGTACATTGTAACTTGAGCTGCTACAAGAGTCTGTGTGTATAAGGCTAAACAATTCACCTTAAGTCAACTGCGCTGGTCTAAAAACAAGAAACAAAATATTAAATATTAAAAAGAAAGACATAAAAAGGCACCAACCTTTCTCTCCAGAGGCCTTCAGGACTTAAATCAACACATTAATCATCACACATAAAAACCATGAACATTTATACATAAGCAGAATAATAAACCATAAAGGATTCAAATGAAATGAAGGCAGTATAGGCACAACAATAACTTAATCTCTTTCCATTCCAAAAAAGGTCAACTTGAAAACAAAAGCTTTGCCAAAGAAAAAGAAAAAGAATTTCAGTAAACATTCAATCACTTTCTTCCACTCCCAATGAAATTACATGTCAAAGACCAGCCTGTATTTGGACAAATGTTCAAAACAGGGAGTAAGACCAAGCTAACCTCATATTGTGTGTACAGACAAACAGTCAAAGACATGAGAATGTATCCCTGCATTGTATCTAGCCTACGTGCCCACAACCCCTGGGTGGATGTCTGAGCAGTAGCTAAGCTAAGAAAAGTTTTCACCGAGGGGCTTTGTCCATTTTAGTCAGGCACACGCTGGAAGCCTTGAATCAAACAGATAAAAACACATGAGTGTGCTTGCATACACAGATGCTCTACACATCACTGAGGTCAAACATTCGACAAGTCCATCCAGGGAAGAGAAGTTAATTAAAAAGCTGAAACTTTGAGGTGAGGTCTGGGCTTTGAACATGGCAGGGCTGGAGTGACCTAGGCAGCATGTGGAGTGTGATTCACAAGTGTTTTATAAACCATCAAAGGGTTGGGAGCCAAAAAAAGAAGGATCATATTAAAAAGAGTTTGCCTTCAATCTGCAAAACCCCAGAAGAAGAAACAAAGAAACCTCAGGCTAAAACCAAGCCTCATCTTGAAATGCCACAGGGAGATGACCCCCTCTATAACCCACTCCTCCAACAGTCAGTGTATATAAGTGGTCCTCTGTAGCTCAGCTGGTAGAGCACGGCGCTTGTAACGCCAAGGTAGTGGGTTCGATCCCCGGGACCACCCATACACAAAAATGTATGCACGCATGACTGTAAGTCGCTTTGGATAAAAGCGTCTGCTAAATGGCATATTATTATTATTATTATATTATATATACATGCTCCCCTCCCCCCGACCCGTAGACTGAAGAGATCTCTTTCCTTTAATGGCGAGGCTTTAGAGAGGTCACTTTGATCCTTTAGTTTCTCAGGTAGAAGGAAGCTGCCGGCTGAGCAGGAACAGGAAATGCAAGGTCAATACAAGCTAATGGAGATGAGATCACATGTGACGTCAACCCTTTAGTAACTATAACATCATGTCATGGACTGTGTCCCAAATGGCACGCTATTCCCTATATAGTGCACTACTTTTGACCAGGGCCCATGTCATGGTGCCTGGTTGTGTACTAGAAAAAATCCATCACAGAACATACTGACACACACTGGATTCCACGCCTATCAGCTAAAAACAAGAAGAAGCGGTCACCAACACTGGACAACTGGAAAAAAATTGCCTGGTACGACGAATCCCAGTTCCTATCGCATCGTGCTGATGGCAGTCAGGATTAGATGGGGGTACCTAATAAACTGGTCACTGAGTGTATAGGGAATAGGCTGCCATTTGGGACACAACCTAGAATGTTCCACCAATGCTAAAGAACATGTGCAATACTCTGTCCTAAATAGATGCAAACCTTGAGATGTATTCCTCCGATGTGCCTGAGTCATATCATGTCCCATAGTCCTGACAGTATCACTGTACATCATGCTCACATCAACATGTGGATATGTTCTATCGTCATCTAGAACACTAAACTTGGCAAATTGCTCCCTTTTTGTCACATTGTTGAATCCTTTTCCCTTTCACATCTGTATAACAGTTTGAAAACTAAAATATAACAATCTGATTTAGGTGCTCTCAACAGCAAGAAGCAATCAGAATGTAACCTTTATGAAAAAGTCATATGATTACAGGCAAGCAATAAAGTGTAATTTGTTTTGGTGTCGTCATTGAATATGAGGGGTTTGAATTGATGCAACATATGGGCACATAGTTCAGAATGTTAAAAAGGGATAGAAATATTTCACTAATGAGGGCTGAAATGCCAGACTCATGACGTAAGACAGGTGTTTACATACATAAAAGCAGAACGACACAATGTGAACCGCTCACATCTGTTGAAACAACGTAGTACAAAGAAACCCTTGCCAAATGAACACTAGTTCTAAAGTTAAGCGGATAATGACAGCAGATTACTGCCATTTCCAGCCTGCAATCATCTGTTGAGATACCACGACGTTATAACATACACCATATGGAAGTCATATAGAAGTTCTTGGGGTCAGTGGTTAGAGTCAGAGCACAAAAATCAGCCGGGAATGTTCATTCTTGTGTAGAAGAGTCTGTTTATTGAATTGATATAAATTCTCTATAATATATCTATTTCAACACCTGTTAAATTATTGTCTCACTGAGTCACTTTGAGCCAAAAGGTATTTTCCAGCTCCCCTGTAGCTCTCAGACATACCACTCCCTGCGTGAGATCACAGACCCATCCATGTGGGACACATATTCGCTGTCTGTGCCATTGTCATAGCAGTCCTCCGGCAGGTAGGGGGAGCCGTTGGTCACTGTGGGGGTTTGAACAGGCAGCCCTCTGGGGTGGTGGATGTTGTTGTGGTTCTCAGCAGGTTGGTAGCTGCCCTCCCGGAGGCCCCTGTGGCCGTCGCCCCAGTCCTCCCTGTCCTTGATGTCGTTGGGGTAGTCGTTGGGGTAAATGATGTCCCCTCCCGGCTTGGGTTTCAGCTCCTTGCAGGTAGAGTTCTGCCCGTCCCCGTAGACCTCCTGCAGCTCGTGTGGCTGGAGCACGTCCAGCTGGGACTCCTTCTGCATGTCGGAGGGGCCCAGGTACTGCTTGGTGTAGTAGTCCCCCCTGAAGGTCCTCCGTTGGCGCATGAAGCAGGCTCCGCCCAGGATCAGCAGCAGCACTAGGAGCAGGACCCCGCCCACGGCCCCGCCCACTATGGTACCCAGGCTGCTGTCTGACAGGGAGGCCAGGGTGGGGGAGGTGAAGTGGCCGCTCGCTCCTCGTCGCTTGTTGGGAGCCGTGCTGGTGTCACTGGTGTCCAGGAAGAGGGGAGTAGAGGTGGTGGGGACTGGTGCCGTGGTGGGGGGAGGATCTGACGGATGGATAGAGGATGGGTGTGTGTGTGTGTGAGAGAGAGAGAGAGAGAGAGAGAGAAGAAAGAGAGAGCGAGAGAGAGAGGAGACGAGAGGATAGGAGAGGAGAGAGAGGAGAGAGAGGGAGAGAGAGGAGAGAGAGAGTGAGAGAGGGGGGGGGGGGGCAAGAGATGAGGATTTATGGAGGGAGGGAATGTCATGACAGAGAATAAAAAAAACATTTCAATGTCAGTTAAAGGAATCAATGTTTTTTAGTATGAATCTGATTGGTGACACAGTATAATCACTGAATACAGAACAAATAAAATAAACAAATAAAATAAACAAATGCTTATAACCTGTGAAAATGACATTTAGAAAATGACAGTTCACAAAAAAGCTTTAGTCTTAATTGAAATTCTAACACTGTTGTTTTCAAAGAGCATATTAATGAAATAAGTAGTGTCTGGACAAACACCAAAGGCTCTGGGCTCTGTAAAGGAGTGATTGGCTCTGGTGGAAAGTCAAGAGAAAAAGGGGAAGTCATGTGAAAAGATGAAACAGTGTGTGATCGATGTGAGGTTCCTGCATCTGATTCGTCCTTCAGTGGCTAGTGACTGTGATGACACCCAGAGCCAGAGCCAGACAAGAGAGACACAGAGACAGAGAGAGACACACAGAGAGACAGTGACACAGAGAAAGACAGAGACAGAGAGGATTACTGTGTCTGAATATTGACCTCCCTTCAGGACAAAAAGCAGCCTGACCCTGTATCTCTAGAGACATCAAGAGCCTGACTACAAAGAAGCACTAAAAGCTGCATTAGGACTGCTTTGTATCTTCACTTAACACTGGAGTCTAAGCTACGACTGATCAAATGCAAACAGGATGGCAGGAAGCATAGCCTTCAGCTAATTACATCCTGGCTGCAATTTACCTGACTGAGTGAGAATCTAACTAACCTGCAACTATAAAGCAGTGACTAAGGGACCGGTCATAATGTGAAGGGGAGAGTACAGGCAGCTCAAGGTCAGTGAGCTGATATACAACCCCTCCTCCTTAGCCTTAAGACCACCACCCCCAACCTCCCCGGCTGGATCTCCTCATATCAAATCAAATGTTATTTGTCACATGCGTCGTAAACAACAGATGTAGACTAACAATGAAATGCTTACTTCCCAACAATGCAGAGAGAAAAATAGATAACAGAAAAATAATAACACAAGGAATAAATACACAATGAGTAACGATAACTTGGCTATATACACGGGGTACCAGTACCGAGTCGATGTGCATGGATACGAGGTCATAGGAAATGATTGCGGAAATATTATGTAAAAGTTAACATCAGCTTTAAAAAACACATAAAATAGCAGAATTGGTCAGGAGCCCGTAAGACGGCAGCTATCCACTGCAGCGTCATCTCATCCTGGTAGCTAGAGAGGGACATGGTGTATGATGGGGAGCACTGAGTCCCAGGGGACAATATAGGCTCCAATAGGCACAATATATACCCTCCATTGCCCGCTCTGGTCAAAAGTAGTGCACTATATAGGGAATAGGGTATAATTTGGGGCACACTCTTAGTTTTCCAGCGAGCGGGACTCCAGTCCAAACCAGGCCTACTCACAGATGGAGCGTGACCGCCTGCTTTAGTTTGAGGCTCCTCCAGCCTGCTCTCCCGCTCTCCTCTCAGTGAGAAACCAGAGAGATCGTGTGGCGGGGAAGAATGTGTCCAAGAGTAGCAGTCATTATGTTTGGATATAGATTAGAAGAAAGGGGGAAATGGGGAGCACAGTTCTCATGCTCCATACCTAAAGAATAATAGAGGAGCCAAACATGTAAAGCAAGGAGAGGAGAGGAGAGGAGAGGAGAGGAGAGGAGAGGAGAGGAGAGGAGAGGAGAGGAGAGGAGAGGAGAGGAGAGGAGAGGAGAGGAGAGGAGAGGAGAGGAGAGGAGAGGAGGAAGCTGCTGGCCGTGTGTTCTCCAAGCAGTGTTCGCTTGCATCAGAACAGCCCAGTACCGTAGCCAAGTGAGGCCTAATTTAGAAAAAAAATGTTTAGAAAGCTTTGGGGGGGGGAAATCCTCTGTTTAGCGACTCAGTCATTAATTCATGTGTATTAAATTAAAGTAAATATAATTAGTAATCTCTTGATGAGTGAACGGAAACAGCATGCAGCTCTTACAGCAGAGCATGGAGCACACATCCTATTTTATGGGGAGGGAACATACTAGTGTCTGTTACTGTATCTGTGTGTTATTCATTGTGTCCAACCCTGACAAATGACCTTGGACAACAAACAAGAGAAACAAAAAAGGGCAAAATGTCTGCACACTGTGCTCCCATTGACAAGCAGGCATATTGTTGCATATTAGTGCATACTGTGTTCCCAAAAACAAACATGGTGAAACACTCTCTCTTATCACAGATATCTAATGTTGCCATAACCACAACAGTTTGAACCTTTGGTGTGGATACGGTGTGTTTATGCTGCTCTTTTCTCCTCTGGTGTCTGGAATGTGTGCAAATGGAGACAGGCACTGCTTTGTCTGATGGTGGGAGAACTCTGCTTGAAGCGTTTAACCAAGGCCATACTCTCTCACCTTGTATCCAGACGTGAACGTCCTGACTGCGTGGACCGATGTCATTGGACACCTCACACCTGTACAGTCCAGAGTCATTTCTCTCCAGAGGACGAGTGAAACTAAAAGTGTTGTTCACTATATCCACACCGTCAGGCATCGGCCCATCCAACCTTTTAAGAAAGGATATCATATATAAACACAGGGATACAAACATTATCTGTATATTACTAGCTAGAAATGATCACAGTAGTGACGCGGCCAGTGTCTAGCATGTTGTGGGGTGTAGTGGGTGGGTAAGCTGCTAGCTAGAGGATCCTGACCTGGTCCAGGAGAAGTGGTGGGCAGGTGGGTTTGCTTTGGCTCCACAGTCCAGCTTCACATTCTCTTGACCAACAAACCAGTTCTGGTCATACCCCACCACCGTCACCTCAGGAGCAACTGGAAAAGAAGCACAATATCTATTAAAATAATGCTTTGATTCTTTATTCTACAATCCTATTATAATTATTTATGATTATTATTGATTTATTTATTATTATTATTAGTTACTTACTGTAGTGTATCTACTTTGTAATGTAGGCCTATTGTACAAGATACACTATGATCAGGATCATTTAATAACACAAAACAGGAGATTCATTTAAAAAAGAAAATGTCCTAGTGTGCATTGTACACAATAGCCAATGTGACCCCTAGCAGTATAGTGATGACAAATGAGCTTTCCCCCCAGGGTGAAAAAGCAAGCAATATAAGAAGAAAACAAGGGATAATCAAAATGAAAAAGCAGGCAAAGGATTCTACTGCATAGAGGTTTTGTTGGCTGTATGAAGCCTAGAAAACAAACATGAGAGAGATACAGAGAGAGAGAGAGAGAGACAGAGAGCGAGACAGCGAGAGAATGAGAGGCTACATCAGACAGGTCTGGGCGAAAAGATGTAGGGGTAATAATCCACTCCAGCAGCTCACCACCAGACACAAACAGAACAAAGAGAAGCCTACCAGAGGTATTACAGATACCACTGACTGTACTGTAATAAATGTAGTAAACAATGACTCTGGTATCCAATTTCCCCCTTTTCATTTCTCTGGAGAGTGAGCAGGCAAAACGTATTACAGTACACGGCCGGGCAGGGAACAAGACGTTATCAGTTCGTCATGTTGACCTTTGCACTCTGTTCGTGGTGAAATTGTGCTTCTTTGGCACTTAAAATCCCCTGCCTCTGCATTTGACATGATTTATTGAGCTCCAAAGCCTTTCTCTTCCTAAACTCGGCTTTCTGCATCTCTACCCTTCTGCCCCCACCTCTCTTCCCCCTGCTGCTGCTGCTACTGCTGAGGCTTGATCAATATTTCATAAAACGTCTTCATTAGCCTGCACTCACATAGTCCAGACAGATACTACCCACTATTCACCAGTTCAGCTTGCCAAGGAACCATGCATCAATGATTATAAAAGGAAGATGACTCCTTAATGGCTCTCTTATGAGCAAAAGAGGGAAGACAGGGAGTCGGTCCGGTCTATGTGCATACTGCACTGTAAATCAGGCTATCAACATGATAGGTTATAGATCAAATACAGAAAGCAGCCCTTCACTGATCCATGTGGCAGTTGTCTAAATCTTTATGTAGTCAGAGAGCGCATGCTGAAACAACATGAGCAGCAGCTGTCTCTGGCAGACAACTGAGACAAGACAAATCATCTACCATAAAGCCCACCTATCAGCACAGATACTCCCCTCAAACAGAACACAAAGATAGCTTGCTACCCCTCTCCTTGTCATGGTGGCACTCAGCTCTATGTAGTAAATCATGAAAAAGGTGATCTAGTTGTTTCAATGACCCTACTGCTTTGCTGTCCTGTCCGCCTGATTCCCCCCCAACACTCACACTGCACATTGAGCACGTAGGGTATCCTGAACTCAGTCTGCAGGGCCGGGTGGCGCACCACACAGGTGAGGGTGTGGCCCTGGGAGTGTCTCCGTGGCTCCAACACATAGAGCACCTGGGTGGTGGAGGCGACATTTTGTTAGACGTGTAAATATTTAAGCATGTTTAAATAGTGTTAGTGTGAGCTCTGCATGCCTGCTTCATGATCTATATATTTACTCCATGAGGAGGGTGATTGTGTGAGAGACTATGGCTGTGTCCCAAATGGCACGCTATTCCCTATATATTTGGCAATACTTTTGACTAGAGCCCAAGGGCAAAACTGACCAAAACTGGTCTTAGTCAAAAGTAGTGCACTATATAGGGAATAGGTTGCCATTTGGAACACAGTATGTCAGTACTGTGGTGTGTGGTCAAAGCAGTAGCTCTTTTCTGTTTGTACCTGGGTGGTGGAGGTGCCGTTGGGCTCGTCCTGCGTCTGGACCACAGAGTGGCCAAACAGCTCAGTCTCCCATGACACCTCGGCTGCAGGCCGGCCGCGCTCCGCTATGCAGGTGGCCGCCACCGACTCATTACCACCATCCACCAGGGCCGTAGAGCCGGCGGAGACGTAGACCTTGGGCTCCACTAGGGGAGAGACAGATTAGAAAACTATAATGTTCTCAATGATGCAATTCATTTCGCAGCATAGACAATATACATACACACAAAATAAAAATTAATTACGAGAAAGAGAGAGAGGAAAAGGGGGAGACAGAGAGACAGAAGGAGAGAAAGAAAACAAGAGAGAGAGAGAGAAAAAGGGGGAGACAGAGAGACAGACGGAGAGAAAGAAAACAAGAGAGAGAGAGAAAAAGGGCATGCAGAGAGATGACAAAACAGAATGGAGAATAGATTACAAAATGAGTATTGATATTTTGTATATGAAGATGAATAAATAATGTGCATCATAAAACAGGGATGGAGAGATGGACATACAGGAGGAAGTGGCCACGGTACACTCACACACTGCTGCCAGACGCAGTAGATTGATTTCCTGCATTTCACAGATATCTATTAAAAATGTATGAGCCAAGCAATCTGATACTATAGGAGCACTTTGGAGGGAACTCAACTATTTTTATTGTTATTGTGCTGGAGATGTCTGTGAGAGATGTTTGTGTGTTTGTGAAAGGAATATTATTATGCAGCATCGACCAAGACATTTCTATTATAGTGACTTTTGGAGCATCTCCATGAAGCTGTTTGAACTATATTCCCTTCCTCCTAAATCAAAACAATGGATTTGGTGTTGTAAATGCTGTACTTTCAAACTGCTCGTACTACTCATGGCTTGCTAATATGGTTCATAATGACTTGGAAAAACAGTTTAACACAGAGCAATGTCAGACATAATACTCAGTGCTGTTGTGTGTGTCTGTGTTTCATTGTGTTGTGTCCTGTCCTGAGCTGGGGAGTTGGGTTGCTGTTAATGTGTGCTTCTATTCAGTGCTTTAGAGCTAGGGTTATGTTACACTGGCTTCCTATGAGGACTCTGAGTTACTGTGGGTTGAGACATCAGTCATGACACAGATTTCTCTCAATAGAGCAGCATAAACAGATCCATGTGAAAGGAAAGTGACCGCTGTAACACAGCACTCTACCTGTTCCACAGAGCACTACTTTAACGGTTCTAGGGCACCGACAGACATCATCCTAAATATAAGACACCTCTCATAATCACCAACTGTCAACGCTGACAGCCAGTAGGGTTTTCACTAGGGATGAATATTTTCCCGAAAGTCTACTAAGTTTCAATACCGGGAAAAATTCATATTTATCCTGAGAGTCCAGGGAAATACCGGAAGTGCCCAATTAAAGCGTTTAAAACCAAGATATGGTCACTATGCCAAGGTTCTCTCCAAATAAGAGCAAATTAAACTGATATTTAGTAATGATAGAGTAACTATCTTTGATCGCCAAAGACATTGTTGTGAATTGCGAAACAGGCCGTTCATAAATTCAGAGCGTTATCATGTTCCTCAATAGCCTAGGCTCTAGGACAGGAGAAGATAGAATTTTCCTCATTCCTCTCTGAATTGTTAATAGACTTTATATCTGTGACAGAGATGCCTATATAGTGAATTGTGCATAGGCCTATCAAATTTGTGACTGTCTGAAGAGTCACAATGACCGCTCAAAGAGACACGTTCTTTTATAGTCTATACTTTAGTCGTTTCTTGTAGGGTTTATTAACTGCATTCTGGTCGCGTGTGCAGTCCGGCAGTGTCAATTATGTGTGCGCTTTGAATTTATGGCGACTTTGTGTGAAGTAAATACTCTAGACTAAAGGCTTCCATGCAACAACCTGTTTGGATATTGTGCAATTAAATGTTTTGCTAATTTGATGCTGCACATGTTATGTATTTGTGAAATTGCAATAGCGCAATTCCACAGGAGAAGGTAGGAGAGAGAGAGGGAGAGAGGCTGGAAAGCAATCACTTCACAAATTGGCTCTAGCGGTTAAATCTATGATTCAGGAAGCAGCCATGCTGCCTTGCTTTCCATCATTACTCATCTGAATCTCTTGCCTGGCAACCAAACACTATGCCACGCCCTCTGACCTTAGTTTCTTCTCTGCAATGAGTCTGTATCTGAGCATCTCCTCAACCCTTCACTGAATGCGAACACATTTGGGGCAGTCTGATTTGTCCAGAAACCAATGGGTTGGGCCAGAGCCAGAACACACGTGGGTAAAGCGGTGGTTTGAAAAATTGCCATTGGCTTTGATACTCCGATTGGTTAGAGACAACTTTGTTTTGTACAACGCCCCTTGTGCCCCTCATCACAACAAACAACTTCAATGACGGCAGCCTCAGACTAAAGTATGTAGCGAACGACAGAGCAGCAGAAGAATTTAGTGTGAGTTGTCAGGCTACTGAACCACCCCCACCCTGCTCTCTCTTTGCCATGTCCATTTCTCCTTCCCCCTCTCTCTCTCTGTCTGTGGTATCCTTCTCTGCCTCCTCTCCCCACAGAGGGCAGGGCACTAACAGCTGCTGGACTTCCTGTTACAGTGACAGTGTGGCACACACACACACACACATACATCCACCAGACAAGGCCATCGCCCCCAGACATCTGCCATACCCCTCCTCACAGTGGAACAACACCCCAGAGACTCCCTCTTCTAAAAATATACTTGTGTCTCCTACGCCCGGGCATCAGGTAGCCGTCTCAGTCAACCTGCTCACATTGTGCCCCCCACCCTCATCTAAATGTCACCCCCCCCCCCCCCCCCCCCACCCCACTGACTGAGCACGCACAGTAGCTCTGTTGTGTTAGGGGGGCATCCCGGGACCCCATAGCCCACACCCCTATCCCCTTCCCTCCAGTGTAACAAAATGTTGGGGAGGTGCTAATTTGGAGAGGCTGTCGGGGAGGGAGGTGGGTCAGATTTATCTCGTTGAGTGCAGAGGATAATGACTTTCCGTCAGACAGGCAGAGAGCAGGCAGTGGGAGCCGTGTTGGCCCCGTCCCATTGCCCGGCTCCGCTAGGCTCTGATGAGCGCCTAGGGCTGGGCGGTATACCGTATTTTACAATATACCGGTATTGATGCACGGACCGGTTTGGGTTTTTACTTTACCTTCTATAATAGTATTTGAATGTTTGGTTTGTTAAATGTGATACGCTGTGTGTAACATCCATTTTTATAGTTTACTTCACTACTTGAGTCATCTCTCTCCTCTCTCGCTTAATGCCACTTTCCACACAGACCAAGCCCCGCCCCCTGTCACTCAAGGAGCGCATTTGTTGTTCCTCGAACATGAGACAGACACTTGCCTTCAGTCTACATAGTCAATGCAGCACATGCAACAATGTTGATGACAACGATGCTGTTTTCACTTTGTTTCTTGATATAAATCCACTAGTGTTCTATAATTACACTATTAGACTGTGTTTATTACATCTGCAAATAGCTAGTTTGTCTTTTCTTAGCAACTTGGGCCTAAAAGCTAGCTAGCTAATAAATGTACTGAGTCAGAACAAATGTAATTAGCTATACAGCCTGATAATATTAGTGGAGGAATACGCGAAGCATGAATATGTTAGCTACTTGAAGTAGCTGTAACCAAATCAGGGGGACATGCAAAAAATTTTGCCACCCACTTTGGGCTGCATGAAGTAGCTAAGAGAAAACATTGAATGTTGCCAAAGATTATAGGGTCCCCTAGGAAACACTTATAAAAACTTTGGTTCCTACCCTGTCACAATAACACCTCCCTGGCATTTCCATACGTTGTCATGTCAAACAACACTCTATTCAAAGTGCCCACTATTATATTCTAACTATAGAATTAGAATAATCATTGTATTTCCATGATTCCAACAGTTCACCCAAGTCAAATTGCAACATTTGGTTTAAAATAAGGCCTAAATTGTTTGCCCATATTGTGCAGCCCTACGTGGCAGCATGGAAATGATCTCAAATGAGTACAGGAAATGCTGAAATGTATGGAAATGCTAAAAAAATATTTGAACAGTATAAAACAATCAATCAGAATGGAGAAAGAGCCATTGGAATCACTTAGAATGTATGTGTTGCCACTAGGGCTGTTACGGTGACCGTATTACCGCCACACCGGCGGTCACGAGTCATGATGGTAATCAAATTCCATGTGACTGTTTAGTCACGGTAATTATGCTTCTCCATGTTCTAATGCTGCTGATAGTCATTAGTAGCCTACCAAACTTGATAACTGCCTGGTACTCAGCACTCTATTGTCCCTCTAATCACTCTGACATCAATTCTAATGTTTTCAAAAATCTAATCAAACACTTTGCGTGAGAAAACAGTGTGATGGCCTCTATTAGAAAGAAGAGGATCCCATCAGCTTTCTATAGGCTGCAGTTCTATCAACATATCGACTGTTGTACTCGGGATGCTAACATCCTCGACCATTGCTATTCAAACTTCCGGGATGGTTATAAGGCCTCCCCTGCCCTCCTTTCGGCAAATCTGACCACGACTCCATTTTGCTCCTCCCTTCCTATAGGCAGAAACTCAAACAGGAAGTACCCGTGCTAAGGACTATTCAATGCTGGTCTGACCAATCGAAATACACGCTTCAAGATTGTTTTGATCACGCGGACTGGGATATGTTCCGGGTAGCTTACGAAAATAATTTTGACGAATACACTGAAACGGTGACTGAGATTATCAGGAAGTGTATAGGAGATGTTGTGCCAACTGTGACTATTAAAACCTACCCTAACCAGAAACTGTGGATAGATGACAGCATTTGCGCAAAACTGAAAGCGCGAACCACCGCATTTAACCATGGCAAGGTGACTGGGAATATGGCAGAATACAAACAGTGTAGCAACTCACTCCGAAAGGAAATTAAACTTGCAAAACATCAGTATAGAGACAAAGTGGAGACGCAATTCAACGGTTCAGACACGAGACGTACAGTGGGGAAAAAAAGTATTTAGTCAGCCACCAATTGTGCAAGTTCTCCCACTTAAAAAGATGAGAGAGGCCTGTAATTTTCATCATAGGTACACGTCAACTATGACAGACAAATGGAGAAAAGAAAATCCAGAAAATCACATTGTAGGATTTGTAATGAATTTATTTGCAAATGATGGTGGAAAACAAGTATTTGGTCACCTACAAACAAGCAAGATTTCTGGCTCTCACAGACCTGTAACTTCTTCTTTAAGAGGCTCCTCTGTCCTCCACTCGTTACCTGTATTAATGACACCTGTTTGAACTTGTTATCAGTATAAAAGACACATGTCCACAACCTTAAACAGTCACACTCCAAACTCCACTATGGCCAAGACCAAAGAGCTGTCAAAGGACACCAGAAACAAAATTGTAGACCTGCACCAGGCTGGGAAGACTGAATCTGCAATAGGTAAGCAGCTTGGTTTGAAGAAATCAACTGTGGGAGCAATTATTAGGAAATGGAAGACATACAAGACCACTGATAATCTCCCTCGATCTGGGGCTCCACGCAAGATCTCACCCCGTGGGATCAAAATGATCACATGTATCGTGAGATTTTTAGTGAAAACCTCCTTCCATCAGCAAGGGCATTGAAGATGAAACGTGGCTGGGTCTTTCAGCATGACAATGATCCCAAACACACCGCCCGGGCAACGAAGGAGTGGCTTCGTAAGAAGCATTTCATGGTCCTGGAGTGGCCTAGCCAGTCTTCAGATCTCAACTCCATAGAACATCTTTGGAGGGAGTTGAAAGTCTGTGTTGCCCAGCGACAGCCCCAAAACATCACTGCTCTAGAGGAGATCTGCATGAAGGAATGGGCCAAAATACCAGCAACAGTGTGTGAAAACCTTGTGAAGACTTACAAAAAACATTTGACTTGTGTCATTGCCAACAAAGGGTATATAACAAAGTATTGAGAAACTTTTGTTATTGACCAAATACTTATTTTCCACCATAATTAGCAAATTAATTCATTAAAAATCCTACAATATGAATTTCTGGATTTTTTTTTCTCATTTTATCTGTCATAGTTGACGTGTACCTATGATGAAAAGTACAGGCCTCTCTCATCTTTTTAAGTGGGAGAACTTGCACAATTGGTGGCTGACTAAATACTTTTTTCCCCCACTGTATGTGGCAGGGTCTACAGACAATCACGGACTACAAAAGGAAAACCAGCCACGTCGCCGACACCGACGTCTCGCTTCCGGACAAGCTAGACACCTACTTCGCCCGCTTTGAGGATAAGACAGTGCCACCGACACAGCCCTTTACCAAGGACTGTGGGCTCTCCTTCTCCGTGGCCAACGTGAGTAAGACATTTAAGCATGTTAACCCCCGCAAGGCTGCCGGCCCAGACGGCATCCCTAGCCGCGTCTTCAGAGCATGTGCAGACCAGCTGGCTGGTGTGTTTACGGACATATTCAATCTCTCCCAATCCCAGTCTGCTGTCCCCACATGCTTCAAGATGGCCACCATTGTTCCTGTACCCAAGAACGCAAAGGTAACTGAACTAAATGACTTTCGTCCCGTACCACTCACCTCTGTCATCATGAAGTGCTTTGAGAGACTAGTCAAGGATAATTTCACCTCTACCTTACCTGTCACCCTAGACCCACTTCAATTTGCTTACCGCCCCAATAGATCCACAGATGATGCAATCGCCATCACACTGCACACTGTCCTATCCCATCTGTACAAGAGGAATACCTATGTAAGAATGCTGTTCATTGACTATAGCTCAGCATTCAACACCATAGTACCCTCCAAGCTCATCATTAAGCTCGAGGCCCTGGGTCTGAATCCCGCCTTGTGCAACTGGGTCCTGGACTTCCTGACAGGCCGCCCCCAGGTGGTGAAGGTAGGAAACAACATCTCTACTTCGCTGATCCTCAACACTGGGGCCCCACAAGGGTGCGTGCTCAGCCCCCTCCTGTACTCCCTGTTCACCCATGACTGCGTGGCCAAGCACGCCTCCAACTCAATCATCAAGTTTGCAGACGACACAAAAGTAGTAGGCTTGATTACCAACAATGATGAGACAGCCTACAGGGAGGAGGTGAGGGCTCTGGGAGTGTGGTGCCAGGAAAATAACCTCTCACTCAACATCAACAAAACAAAGGAGATAATCGTGGACTTCAGGAAACAGCAGAGGGTGCACCCCCCTATCCACATCGACGGGACCACAGTGGAGAAGGTGGAAAGCTTCAAGTTCCTTGGCGTACACATCATTGACAAACTGAAATGGTCCACCCACGCAGACAGTGTGGTGAAGAAGGCGCAACAGAGCCTCTTCAACCTCAGGAGGCTGAAGAAATGTGGCTTGGCACCTAAAACCCACAAACCTTTACAGATGCACAATTGAGAGCATCCTGTCGGGCTGTATCACTGCCTGGTACGGCAACAGCACCGCCAGCAACCGCAGGGCTCTCCAGTGGTGCGGTCTTCCAAACGCAATACTGGGGGCAAACTACCCGCCCTCCACGACACCTACAGCACCTGATGTCACAGGAAGGCCAAAAAGATCATCAAGGACATCAACTACCCGAGCCACTGCCTGTTCACCCCGCTATCATCCAGAAGGCGAGGTCAGTACAGGTGCATCAAAGCTGGAACCGAGAGATTGAAAAACAGCTTCTATCTCAAGGCCATCAGACTGTTAAATAGCCATCACTAGCACATTAGAGGCTGCTGCTGCCTATTGAAATCACTGGCCACTTTAAGAAATGGAACACTTGTCACTTTAATAATGTTTATATATCTTGCATTATTCATCTCATATGTATATACTGTATTCTATAATATTCTACTGTATCTTAGTCCATGCCGCTCTGTCATTGCTTGTCCATATACAGTGGGGAGAACAAGTATTTGATACACTGCCGATTTTGCAGGTTTTCCTACTTACAAAGCATGTAGAGGTCTGTAATTTTTATCATAGGTACACTTCAACTGTGAGAGACGGAATCTAAAACAAAAATCCAGAAAATCACATTGTATGATTTTTAAGTAATTAATTTGCATTTTATTGCATGACATAAGTATTTGATACATCAGAAAAGCAGAACTTAATATTTGGTACAGAAACCTTTGTTTGCAATTACAGAGATCATACGTTTCCTGTAGGTCTTGACCAGGTTTGCACACACTGCAGCAGGGATTTTGGCCCACTCCTCCATACAGACCTTCTCCAGATCCTTCAGGTTTCGGAGCTGTCGCTGGGCAATACGGACTTTCAGCTCCCTCCAGAGATTTTCTATTGGGTTCAGGTCTGGAGACTGGCTAGGCCACTCCAGGACCTTGAGATGCTTCTTACGGAGCCACTCCTTAGTTGCCCTGGCTGTGTGTTTCGGGTCGTTGTCATGCTGGAAGATCCAGCCACGACCCATCTTCAATGCTCTTACTGAGGGAAGGAGGTTGTTGGCCAAGATCTCGCGATACATGGCCCCATCCATCCTCCCCTCAATACGGTGCAGTCGTCCTGTCCCCTTTTCAGAAAAGCATCCCCAAAGAATGATGTTTCCACCTCCATGCTTCACGGTTGAGATGGTGTTCTTGGGGTTGTACTCATCCTTCTTCTTCCTCCAAACACGGCGAGTGGAGTTTAGACCAAAAAGCTATATTTTTGTCTCATCAGACCACATGACCTTATCCCATTCCTCCTCTGGATCATCCAGATGGTCATTGGCAAACTTCAGACGGGCCTGGACATGCGCTGGCTTAAGCAGGGGGACCTTGCGTGCGCTGCAGGATTTTAATCCATGACGGCGTAGTGTGTTAATAATGGTTTTCTTTGAGACTGTGGTCCCAGCTCTCTTCAGGTCATTGACCAGGTCCTGCTGTGTAGTTCTGGGCCGATCCCTCACCTTCCTCATGATCATTGATGCCCCACGAGGTGAGATCTTGCATGGAGCCCCAGACCAAGGGTGATTGACCGTCATCTTGAACTTCTTCCATTTTCTAATAATTGCGCCAACAGTTGTTGCCTTCTCACCAAGCTGCTTGCCTATTGTCCTGTAGCCCATCTCAGCCTTGTGCAGGTCTACAATTTTATCCCTGATGTCCTTACACAGCTCTCTGGTCTTGGCCATTGTGGAGAGGTTGGAGTCTGTTTGATTGAGTGTGTGGACAGGTGTCTTTTATACAGGTAACGAGTTCAAACAGGTGCAGTTAATACAGGTAATGAGTGGAGAACAGGAGGGCTTCTTAAAGAAAACCTAACACGTCTGTGAGAGCCGGAATTCTTACTGGTTGGTAGGTGATCAAATACTTATGTCATGCAATAAAATGCAAATTAATTACTTAAAAATCATACAATGTGATTTTCTGGATTTTTGTTTTAGATTCCGTCTCTCACAGTTGAAGTGTACCTATGATAAAAATTACAGACCTCTACATGCTTTGTAAGTAGGAAAACCTGCAAAATCGGCAGTGTATCAAATACTTGTTCTCCCCACTGTATGTATATATTCTTAATTCCATTCCTTACTTAGATTTGTGTGTATTGGGTATATGTTGTGAAATTGTTAGATATTACTTGTTAGATATTACTGCTAGAAGCACAAGCATTTTGCTACACCCGCAATAACATCTGCTAAGAACATGTATGTGACTACTACAATTTGATTTGATTGATTTATGCTAGGCCTACTATATTTATTTCTCAACAATCCTAATAATAAGCACATTGCTTCTCTTTAAAACAAGAGTATAGCCAACCTGGCTGGCATGAAAATGAACCACGAGAAAAGCGTCCTACATTTGCTATTTAAGTGCATAGATGACATGTATTTTTTTTCCGCTGCCCCTGTTTCGAGACAGGTGCATGATAATGGTCCATTCTAAATCAAAACAAATTTCACGCATATATCATTTAGTATATGTAAAGACAAGATTAAATCAAGAATAGTGTGATGGGTGACAATATTAGCCTATCACATGTGATATATTTTCACTTGTGAATGATGCCCAGCTTATTGATACCCAGTAAACAGTGCATGCTTTTTTTGGCGACTTTTTCAAATCATAGTCGCACACCTCATGTAGCCTAGCCCATAGGCCTATATGTTTTGATACGGTTTGTATCACAACTAAAGTGGCCAAATAACTTCTTAAAATGAAGCACATTCATTCGCTTTACAATGGGTGTAGAGCTTAACTGGCGCATGAGTTTCAAGTTTGGGGAAGATAATTTTCACCATAAAAATGCACCTTTATAATAAAAGCATTACATGCATAATCGCATTTTTGGTCACTTTTGAAAATGGTGTCCTGCTAATGCAACATTTGCGCTTATAGCCTACTGCCGTGTGCGCATTGCTGCGCTTATAATGTGAAGAAATAGCCTAATAGTTTATCAACATTTTAAGCTAAACGTTCTCATCTGTTGTGTCAGGCTCATTGCTTAAAACAGGTTTTTTTATGCTAGTGGTTGTATTAATTTGGGATCTATCGCATCCCAAAACTGTCCCGGACTATGTTTGGAATATTGATTTCTCGCACAGAATAAAATAGGTCAACTTTTGTACTATGGGGGATAGTAGATTGACATAGGCTAGTGCTTTTGCTGTTTGTTAGGCCTACTGATCTTGTTGGCAGACGAAAATTAAATGTGGACAGTTCTTCCAATATCTTCAATATGCGCCTCGGAATTGGATAAGGACGCGCACAGTTGCGTCCCCGATGTGTCTGTCTTCACTTGTAGCCTGTGAGAAAGACCCAATCATGTGAATGAGAGGTGCTTCGGCACGCAGCGGGAGAAGGGAATTAAAATTATTATATTCAGCCCAAGGGCATAACGGCCACTGGCCGCAAAAGGCAAGGATTCTTTTAGGGGGCATTACGGCCACACAAAGGGGATGCAGCTGGGAAATTCGAGGCATTATCAAGTGCTTGTCAAATTGTGAATGTGAGACTGATGAAGTGTGTACAGCCTGCGCAAAAAACAAAGCAGAGCTCATGCCTTTCATGCAACTTTTTTCAAATCATCATTAGAGCCGCATCATGCAGCCTTAGAATGTATTAAAAATCAAAACATATAGCCCAACATTTGTATCACAACTAAAGTTACATAAATAACTCTAAATTAAGCATATAAGAGTACCTGTGTCTTTGTTAACCGATAAACACAGAATAGCCGCATGCGCGCACTCCCTCAAATTGTTTGGAGAAAATATCCTTTCTATTTTATTCAGCTATGTTCAATTGTATTCTTCATACTATAAAATAATATAAAAGAATACTACGGAAATTCTAAGCAAATATTGTCTGCTAAATTAACTAGTGTAGCCCACAGCCATATGGCATAGCCAGATCAGGGCCTAACATAAGGACAACTCAGAGTATGCTATTCTTTTCTTCTGAAGTTGTCACGGAATCAGCCGAGGCTGCTCTTCCTCCTTGCTCGGGCAGGCTTCGGCGTTCGTCGTCCCCGGAGTACTAGCTGCCACCGATCTATGTTTCTGTGTTTGTCTAGTTTGTCTTGATTGTTTTCACCTGTTTCCCATTATGTTACATTGTTTTCCCTTTATAACCCCCTGTCCCTCATTGGTTATTGTGTGTGATTGTTTTCCGTGAGGTCGGCAGTGTTCGGGTGTATGCGTATTTTGTTCCTCCCTGTTTGGAGGTTTTGTTTGTATTTTTGATTACTGTGCAAGTAAAGTTTGTCTGCCAGTAGCTCGGTGTCCTGCGCTTGACTTCGCTCACAGCATACACGTCGCCCTGACAGAATCACACACCACACATGGAGTCAGCAGGAGCGGCGGTGCCAGCTGGATCAATGGACGAACGCGTCGAACACCAAGCGGCCATGATCCAGGCTCTCGGCACCGCCATGGAACGTGTGGTGAGCACTATGGAGCGATGGGAAAGAGGGGGTCTGCCTACGCCTCCTCCAACGATACCACCACCATCGGCGATGCCCATCGCTTCACCTCCGGGGTCCAGTGGGATTCGGCTCTCGCTCCCGAGGGCTTATTATGGCACAGCGGCCGGGTGTCAGGGTTTCCTGCTCCAGGTTGAACTCTACCTAGCAACCATTCACCCGGTGCCCTCGGGATACGAGAGTGTGTCCGCCCTCATCTCCTGTCTGTCCGGCAAGGCGCTGGAGTGGGCCAACGCCGAGTGGGGGGGAATAGACGCCGCTACTGTCAACTATGCGGAGTTCACCCGCCGCTTCAGGGCAGTATTCGATCATCCACCAGAGGGTAAAGCGGCGGGTGAGCGTCTATTCCACCTTAGACAGGGGAGGAGGAGCGCACAGGAGTTTCGCGTTGGACTTCCGGACGCTGGCTGCCAACGCGGGATGGAATGAGAGGGCCCTCATCGACCACTACAGATGTAGCCTGAGGGAGGACGTGCGTCGGGAATTGGCCTGCAGGGACACCAACCTCAGCTTCGACCAACTGGTGGACATGTCCATTCGCCTTGATACCCTGTTGGCTACCCGCGGACGTCCGGATTCAGGGCCGTCCATTCCATCCCCCAGCACTTCCGAGCCGACCCCTATGGAGCTCGGAGGTGCTGGTGCTAGGGAGACCAGGAGAGAGACCAGGAGGGAGGCCGTCCCCTGCACCAACTGTGGCCGCAGAGGACACACTGCTGGTCGGTGCTGGGGAGGGTCTCCTAGGAATCTAGGTAGTAGGCAGCGCACTGATGAGTCATTCCAGGTGAGTAGGCACCCAACTCACCCAGAGCTCTCTGTTGCGCATATATGTATTAAAGTTGTGTTTCCCGAGGTTTCTCCTCACTCCCAGCATAAGGCGCTAGTAGATTCAGGCGCAGCTGGGAATTTTATCGATCGCCAATTCACCTATAAGTTAGGGATTCCTATTGTACCTGTTGATGTGCCCTTCCCCATCCATGCCCTAGATAGCCGCCCTTTGGGGTCAGGATTGATTAGGGAAGTCACAGCGCCTCTCAGAATGAAAACGCAGGAGGGCCATGAGGAGATACTATGTTTGTATTTGATTGATTCTCCTGCGTTTCCCGTGGTGTTGGGGCTTCCCTGGTTAACAGCTCATGACCCCAACATTTCATGGCAACAGAGGGCTCTCAAGGGATGATCTGATCAGTGTTTCGGGCGGTGTGTAGGTGTTTCCGTAGGGGCAACGACGGTGGAAAGCCCGAACCAAGTTCCCACCATGCACATTCCACCTGAGTATGCTGATTTGGCACTCGCCTTCTGTATAAATAAGGCGACTCAATTACCACCTCATCGACAGGGGGATTGTGCGATAGACCTCCAAGTAGGCGCTGCGCTTCCGCGTAGTCATGTGTATCCTCTGTCTCAGGAGGAGACGGCGGCTATGGAGACATACGTCACCGAATCTCTGAGACAGGGATACATACGGCCGTCCACTTCCCCTGCGTGAAGAAGAAGGATGGGGGTTTACGCCCGTGTATTGATTACCGTGGTCTCAATCAGATCACAATCAAATACAGCTATCCTCTCCCTCTGATTGCTAGTATGACAGAGTCATTACATGGGGCGCGATTCTTCACAAAATTGGATCTCAGGAGCGCGTACAACCTGGTGCGCATTAGGGAGGGAGATGAGTGGAAGACAGCATTCAGTACCACCTCCGGTCACTATGAGTACCTCGTCATGCCATACGGTTTAATGAATGCTCCTTCAGTCTTCCAATCATTTGTGGACGAGATTTTCCGGGACTTGCATGGACAGGGTGTAGTGGTGTATATTGATGACATTCTAATATACTCCGCTACACGAGCAGAGCATGTGTCCCTGGTGCGTCGAGTGCTTGGTAGACTGTTAGAGCATGACCTGTATGCGAAGGCGGAGAAATGTCTGTTCTTCCAGGAGTCCATCTCCTTCCTGGGACATCGGTTGTCCGCATCAGGGGTGGAGATGGAGATTGACCGCGTTTCTGCCGTGCGTAATTGGCAGACTCCCACCACGGTGAAGGAAGTGCAGCGGTTCTTGGATTTTGCCAATTACTACCGGAGGTTTATCCGGGGCTTCGGACAGGTGGCAGCTCCCATTACCTCCCTGCTAAAGGGGGGTCAGGTGCGTCTGCAGTGGTCGGCTGAGGCGGACAGGGCGTTTAGACATCTGAAGGACCTGTTTACCTCGGCTCCGGTGCTGGCACATCCGGATCCCTCTTTGGCGTTCCAAGTTGAGGTGGATGCGTCCTAGGCTGGGATCGGCGCTGTGCTGTCTCAGCGCTCGGGTACGCCACCAAAACTCCGCCCCTGTGCTTTCTATTCTAAGAAGCTCAGTCCGGCGGAGCGCAATTATGACGTGGGGGACAGGGAGCTGTTAGCTGTGGTTCAAGCCCTGAAGGTGTGGAGGCATTGGCTTGAGGGGGCTAAACACCCTTTTCTCATTCTGACTGACCATCGTAACCTGGAGTACATCCGGGCAGCGAGGAGGCTGAACCCTCGCCAGGCAAAGCGGGCTATGTTTTTTTCCCGATTTGTATTTAAGCTCACCTATAGACCAGGGTCACAGAACACTAAGGCAGACGCCCTGTCCCGACTATATGACACAGAGGAGAGGTCCATTGAGCCCACTCCCATACTTCCGGAGTCTTGTCTGGTGGCACCGGTGGTGTGGGAGGTTGATGCGGACATCGAGCGGGCGTTACGTACCGATCCTACTCCCCCACAGTGTCCAGAGGGTCGGAAGTACGTGCCGCTCGAGGTTCGCGATCGATTGATATATTGGGCTCACATGTCCCCCTCCTCTGGTCATCCTGGTATTGGTCGGATAGTGCACTGCCTTAGTGGGAAGTACTGGTGGCCCACTTTAGCTAAGGACATGAGGGTTTATGTTTCCTCCTGCTCGGTGTGCGCCCAGTGTAAGGCGCCTAGACACCTGCCCAGAGGGAAGTTACAACCCCTACCCGTTCCACAACGGCCGTGGTCTCACCTATCGGTGGATTTTGTCACGGACCTTCCCCACTCCCAGGGGAACACAACGATCTTGGTCGTTGTGGATCGGTTTTCGAAGGCCTGCCGTCTCATTCCTATGCCAGGTCTCCCTACTGCCCTACAAACTGCTGACGCCCTGTTCACACACGTCTTCCGGCACTACGGGGTGCCTGAGGATATAGTGTCTGATCGGGGTCCCCAGTTCACCTCTAGAGTCTGGAGGGCGTTTATTATTATTATTATTATTTTGTCATTTAGCAGACGCTCTTATCCAGAGCGACTTACATGAGCAATTAGGGTTAAGTGCCTTGCTCAAGGGCACATCGACAGATTTTTCACCTAGTCGGCTCGGGGATTAGAACCAGCGACCTTTCGGTTACTGGCACAACGCTCTTAACCACTAAGCTACCTGGAACGTCTGGGGGTCTCGATTAGCCTTACCTCAGGTTTTCACCCCGAGAGTAATGGGCAGGTGGAGAGAGTGAACCAGGATGTGTGTAGGTTTCTGAGGTCCTATTGCCAGGACCGGCAGGAGGAGTGGTCGGGATATATTCCCTGGGCAGAGATAGCCCAAGACTCACTCCGCCACTCCTCCACTAACCTTACGCCTTTTCAGTGTGTGCTGGGTTATCAGCCGGTTCTGGCACCTTGGCATCAGAGCCAGATCAAAGCCCCTGCGGTGGACGAGTGGTTTCGGCGCTCGGAATAAACCTGGAACGCTGCGCATGTCCATCTGCAGCGGGCTATCAGGCGGCAAAAGGCGAGCGCCGATCGCCACCGCAGTGAGGCTCCGGTGTATGCACCGGGAGATCGGGTCTGGCTCTCGACCCGAAACCTGCCCCTTCGCCTGCCCTGCCGGATGCTGGGTCGGCGGTTTGTGGGGCCATTTAAAGTCCTGAGGAGATTGAACGAGGTATGTTATAGGTTACAACTGCCCATTAATTACCGCATTAACCCCCCGTTCCATGTATCTCTCCTCAGGCCGGTGGTGGCTGTTCCACTCCAGGAGAGTGAGGTACGAGAGGCTCCTCCGCCCCCACTAGACATCGAGGGGGCTCCGGCGTACTCAGTCCGTTCCATCTTGGATTCGAGGCGTCGGATGGGGGGCCTGCAGTATCTCGTGGAGTGGGAGGGGTACGGTCCGGAGGAACGGTGCTGGGTCCCTAGGAGGGACATCCTAGATCCCTCCATGTTGAGGGACTTCCACCGGAGTCATCCAACTCGCCCTGCTCCGCGTCCTCCTGGCCGTCCCCGAGGCAAGTGGGGGGTACTGTCACGGAATCAGCCGAGGCTGCTCCTCCTTCTTGCTCGGGCAGGCTTCGGCGTTCGTCGTCCCCGGAGTACTAGCTGCCACCGATCTATGTTTCAGTGTTTGTCTAGTTTGTCTTGATTGTTTTTCACCTGTTTCCCATTATGTTACATTGTATTCCCTGTCTCTCATTGGTTATTGTGTGTGATTGTTTTCCGTGAGGTCGGCAGTGTTCGGGTGTATGCGTATTTTGTTCCTCCCTGTTTGGAGGTTTTGTTTGTATTTTTGATTACTGTGCAAGTAAAGTTTGTCTGCCAGTAGCTCGGTGTCCTGCGCTTGACTTCGCTCACAGCATACACGTCGCCCTGACAGAAGTAGACTGCATTTTCTTCATATCATGTTTCCTTAGACCTGTCTAAAATAAATAATGGATTTATTGTATTGGTGTAGGCTATATTACATGGCTTTATTAGACTTTTTTAAATGTAGATGTTCCAAAGGTCTGCATCAGTGGCTTGTAGGCTATGCGTGGAATACAGGAGATACTAAATGTGTTAATGTTAATTAACGAGTCAATTACCATGAGACCGGCAGGTATTTGCTTGACTATCACCGGTTGACAAAATGTCATGACTGCCACAGCCCTAGTTGCCACCCTACGGTCACACACTACTCAAAGCAAATGTAGAACTTTTATTATTCAAAAACATAAAAATACCAAATATCAAATACAGTCATACCGTCATTTTTTTTCTATTTTATATACCGTTATATAATATTTTGGCCATATCGGCCAGCCCTATGTGTGCAGTTGACAAAGTGAGCCAACCAGGACTACAGTTGAACTGTATGGCCAGTGGTCAAACCATGCAGTATCTCCACAGTTTTGACATATCAATCAATCAGTACACTTTAAAATAATTACAATTATCACCAATCACTGCATTTATGGGGCTCATTGGATGATCATGTAAATCCTAGAGAACGGATATTTTGATTATCTAATTAAACAACTTCTAACAATAAAACACTACAATTTTGACCCTGAACAAGTCTTGCCATGGCACTGCACTGCTGCAAGGTTATGTTCTCTTTAGTTTTTATGACTCACCTGAAAAGAGAAGATGTCATGGACAGTAAAACATGGCTATCAGTGAGCTATGCAGAGAGATCTGGGCTGGAGTAGAAGAACGCTTATGGTTTGATTATATAATAACTCAGAAAGTGAAAGTGGAGCTGGGCCAGACTGTGGAGTTTGCCGCAATGTCAGGCCTAGTAGCATCAGTTGACATCTTCATTAATGCAGCTTTTTTAAGTGTTGTCTTGTTAACTTTTAGAAGTCTTAGCAGAAAGTTTTTTAGAAAACTGCAGAAGGTTTCTCACTTCCTCGTCAGCAGTAACAATCCCAAACAAAAGGTCATTCTAATTCTCAGAGTTTCGGTGGTGGTGTATTATTCCTTTTCCATTGTTTCCAGGTGGGGGCTTGGGGCTCAAGTAGCAAGCTCCTCCTACCATTCAAATGTAACCCTGTGCCTTTTGTGTGGTTAGGAGGAAGGGGGTGGGAGAGGGGGGGGGGGGGGGGGGGGTGTTTATTACCTGAAAGTAGACTGCACTCCTCTTATAAGATTAATATCTGTCCCAGACTACTATATTCTTACAACCGTCAGAGACCTAAAAAAAGCGTTGTAAGAAAGGGAAGCATTTTTTATAATTTTTTACTGCTATGAGCTTTTGGTTTTTATATCAGTTATTATTCTCAGAAGCGGAGTGTACCCACTCACAGTGTTAAGAAATAAAACACCCCCAATAAACAACACAGAGTAAAAGAAGGCCGTGGAAGCCCAGTCTCAGTCCCAAATGACACTATTCCCTATGGGCCCTGGTCAAAAGGAGTGCACTAGAGAATAGGGTGCCATTTGGGACACAGACAGAGTAAAGGTAGAGGTGGGCTAATGGAAGGCTGTGGAGGCCCAGACACTGAGTCGAGTCAGGCAGCCCCCTGTCACAGCAGTACTTAATGGAGCCCTCATTAGTCATCAGAGCCAGCCTCAGGCTGAGTCTCAAATGACACCCTACTCCCTATATTGTGCACTACTTTTACCAGTCAAAAGTAGTGCACTAATAGGGAATAGGGTGCTATTTGGGACTCATTCTCAGGAGAGATACACATGAAGCCTGACTGGTTGCAGCTTTCATCACCGTCCACAACCCAATCAAGCATTATAGGGGTGGAAACACATGCTGACCGCACAACAATCCTCAAAGTTCACTCAGTAAGGTGCTACTTTAATGTGTCCAGACGAGTTGGAACCTTTACGTGTGGATTTGTTTATATTAAGTCAGTAAATCTATGTGGCATTTGGCTCCTACAGTAATAGCTGTATGAATATTGATCAAGGAGAAGTCTGAATTGCCCTCCTATTATTCATGGGACAGTGAGAACATTTTCTGAGAAAGGACATTCAGGTAAAATGGAGCTGGTGCTGTATGCTTCTACAGTACAAAAATTAACTGTTTCTTCATGGTGGACGCAGAGTGTCTGTGTCCCAAATGGCACCCTATTGTCACGCCCTGGCTCTGGGGACTATGTTATGTTGAGCCAGGGTATGTAAGTCTATGTTTGTATATCTATGTGGGCCTGAGTGACTCCCAATCAGAGGCAACGAGTGTCAGCTGGTTGTCTCTGATTGGGAGCCATATTTAACTATCGGTCTTTTCACTTTGTGTTGTGGTTTCTTGTTCCGTTAAGGTTTGTTCGTGTTGTAACCTTAGACGTCACGCATCGTTGGTTATTGTTTTGATCGTGTGATCAGTTAATAAATATATATTATGTTCACCTTCAACGCTGCGCATTGGTCCTCTCTCGTAGACGATCGTGACACCTATTCCCCATTTAGAGCACTACTTTTGCCCAGGGCCCATTGGGGCTGCATCCAAAATGGCCCCCTATTTCCTCTATAGTGCACTACTTTTGTCCAGAGCCCTATGAAGGTCCTGGTCAAAAGTAGTGCACTATAGAGGGAATAAGGTACATTTTACCTTATTTCCTCTATAGTGCACTACTTTTGACCAGGACCGACGCAGTTTAAGAGTTCCACGTACCTAGTATATTGACGGTGGTGGATGCCTGCGTGTTGCCCAGCGGGAAAGTCGCCACTTTACACGTGTAAGACCCGATGTCCTGAAAACCCACGCCTTCCAGGACGATGGTGGCATCGTGCACGGAGGGGTTCAGGAAGGACAGGCGCCTGGCGTAGTCTGGGGAGATGGAGATGCCAAACTGGGGGTTGAAGACGGCTAGGGTGATGGTGCCTGAGGGCAGGCGACGCTCCCAGGAGCTCTGGGTGAGGCTGAGGTTGGTGCCCACCTCCACCCTGCAGCCCAGTGTAATGTTCTTCCCCAGCACAGCACTCACCATCTCTGGGACCAGCACCTCGTTACTGCTCACACCTATAGACAGGGGGAAGGGGTGGGACACAGTCAGTTAGATATAGATCCATGTTGACAACAGTCATGAAAAGAAAGAGTGAACCTCAGTCAAAAAGGACAACAACATAGGCTTACATATTTTCAACTTATTCAACTGTTTTTATTCCTCTTTCATGCTTTTATTCAGAAACAACAACCCCTTCCAAACCATAGAAACCAAATGGCCTTGAGGTAGGCCTACATTATGAAACATACTGTATCACGTCACTTCCCTCTCATGTTACTCTTCCCATGGGAATGGGCTGACCTGACTTCTTTCTGGAACAACTAGTCGTGCCGTATGTTTGTGATATTAAGATGGTATTTCAACAGTGTAGTAAGGGCTGGGCTTTTAGCTTTTTGAGGGGGTTTATCAGGGAGATGTGGCTGGGTCTGGAACCCCTCAGTGTGTGTTCACTCCTAATGAGCAACACACATTCAGCCTCACTGTACAACACATAACGTTCTCACTGTCCCTGCTGTTGTTGTTAGAGCACCTTGCCATATAAAGTCCAAACATTTCTGGAAGGAGATTAAACATAACAAGCAATTTGATGTTTTCTTTCCTGTTTTTAAAAAGCCCTTTCATCTGTGTCTATGCACACCACATGTTTATTTGGGAGTTATTTTCAGCTTGCTGTAACATGTAAACATGGGATTTTCATGGGGGCTGGCTGGCTAGTTTGGATGCTGTGATTGAGTAAAGGTGCAGAAAGCCAATGGAGGAGAGAGGATGAGCAGTGAGCACATGATTATGGCACAATGCTGTCAACAGTGGGAATCAGCCGCATCAATGGACGGAAATTAGGCAATGAAGCCTAACATGATTCAACAATATTGTGTCTTCTACTTTTTGTTTTCCTTTGCTTGGAAAGTAGAAGTTTTATGATACAAGCCTACTAGGCTAATTTGATTTATAGTAGATAGGTCGCTAGTCTGTCTAGGGGGTGTACTTGTACATCAAGCTGCTTAACGCTACAGAAACAGGAGATACCGGTAGGCGCCTCCTGACCTACAGTAGGCCTACTTCTTACTAGATAGGCCTAGCGCCTCGTGCTGGATGTTTGCAATGACTAGCTAGGCAAACCATTTAAGAAATTGAGCAATACATGCCTACTGTAACATTTAGAAACACCACAGGAAGCGAACTCTGAATTAATCACTAGCCTACAACTTAAGGAGGGAAATGAATTTGAACTTGAAATAAATCTTAAATTACAGATTAGTCCTATGTCTAGAATCATCCAACCAAGAAAGACCCGGGTCAAATGTCTCTAAACATAATAACAGCAATTAGTTATCGATACCCACATATATATTTAAACATTAAGTTCATATGAACTTTTACAACCCTGTCGTCTAGATTTAATTGTTGGGGGCACCCCTCGTTGTGAATCTTGCACTAGCCTTCATGTTTTTACATGAACTGAATGGCATTCAAAACATTTAGTGCAAGGTCTAAGTTTTCTTAGCGCAATTTAAAGTTATATTTGGGAGATCTAAATTTCCACCTAACAATGTGTGTGGAGTATGCTAATAAAAGTGGCCTAATGGCTGGTACTTTGGATCCTTGGCATGAATATAAGTGGCAAACCACAGCTATGCTATCCTGACTAAGAGGGAATATAGGCTCTCCCTGCGCCCTTGCATCTCCTGTAATTTCAGGGATCACGTACATGCACACACGCACACACACATACACACAAGCACACAGACTATATTTCCACTATAAAAACTGAGGGTGAGCATGTGTGCATGATTCAGGCATTTTGTTTAGGTAGAGGATATGTGAATCATATAGCAAGCCTAGCTGGTGGGGGGTTTGTGAGAGATTTCCATGGCCAAATAGTTGTGTGTGTATTGCACCGCATTGAGTTGTGTTGTGCTGTGTTTGTTTAGCGTCAGCGTGCCATGCTGTCACAGTATCCTCTGTGTGTATTGGTGTGGTTGAGTGTCAGGGTCAGTTTATGCTATGCAGCCAGTCTCCACTCCACTCAGAACACTGAGCCGGGACAACAGCTGCTGCTGCTGCACTCTGACTATCCCTGGGACTACTATCTACTGGCCTACCTACCATAACAATGTCACACAGACACAGGTGCGCGCAAACACACACACACACACACACACACACACACACACACACACACACACACACACACACACACACACACACACACGACACACACACGACACACACACGACACACACACGACACACACACGACACACACACACACGAGAAGGAGCTATACATAACCATGAAAACACAAGCTACTGTAACATGGGAATACATCAGTAAAAACAGACAGGAGGACAGGAGGGTAATAAAAAGAAACTAATCCAAAACATACAGCTTTTTCTGTGCAGCAGTCGCAGGAGAGTGAATACACTGACATGCCTGGCATGTGTGACAGGCATGTTGATCCCAGGCACAGGCATGACCCACGTCTCAGACTGACTGGGACTGTGCCACTCCGCTCCGCTAGGCTAGCAGCATGCCCCAAATACTGTACCTGCCACACAGTGCCACCATTCCTACATACATAGCTAGGCTACTACAACAAGCAACCAGCAAGACAGTCATTGTGTCTGTCTGCCTCTGGGACTGCCTCCGAAATGGTACCCAATTCAATTCCCTATATAGTGCACTACTTTTGACCAGAGCCCTATGGGCGATGGTGAAAAGTAGTGCACTGTATAGGAAAAAGGTTACATTTGGGATGGCAAAGCAGTCCAAGCAAGCATCAAATCAAAAAATGTTTGTCACATGCGCCGAATACAGCAGATGTAGACCTTACTGTGAAATGCTTACTTCCAAGCCCTTAACCAACAATGCAGTTCAAGAAATAGAGTTAAGAAAATATTTACTAAATAAACTAAAGTAAAAACTTAAATAAATAAACAATAAAATAACAATAAGGAAGCTACATAGATGGGGTACCTGTACCGATTCAATGTGCAGGAGTACAGGTTAGTCAAGGTAATTTGTACATGTAGGTAGGGGTAAAGTGACTATGCATAGATAATAAACAGCGATTAGCAGCAGTGTCAATGTAAATAGGGGGGGGGGGGGGGGGGTCAATGTAAATAGTCTGGGTGGCCATTTGATTAATTGTTCAGCAGTCTTATGGCTTGGGGGTAGAAGCTGTTAAGGAGTCTTTTGGACCTAGACTTGGCGCTCCGGTACCACTTGCCGTGCGGTAGCAGAGAGAACAGTCTATGACTTGCATGACTGAAGTCTTTGACAATTTTTTGGGTCTTCCTCTGACACCGCCTGGTATAGAGGTCCTGGATGGCAGGAAGCTTGGCCCCAGTGATGTACTGGGCCATATGCACTACCCTCTGTAGCGCCTTACGGTCGGATGCCGAGCAGTTGCCATACCAGGCGGTGATGCAACCGGTCAGGATGCTCTCGATGGTGCAGCTGTATAACTTTTTGAGGATCTGGGGACCCATACCAAATCTTTTCAGTCTCCTGAGGGGGAAAAGGTGTTGTTGTGCCCTCTTCACGACTGTCTTGGGTGTGTTTGGACCATGATTTTGTTTGTGATGTGGATACCAAGGAACTTGAAATTCTCTACCCACTCCACTACAGCCCTGTCGATGTGAATGGGGGCGTGTTCGGCCCTTCTTTTCCTGTAGTCCACAATCAGATCCTTTGTCTTGCTCACATTGAGGGAGAGGTTGTTGTCCTGGCACCACACTGCCAGGGGTCTCTGACCTCCTCCCTATAGACTGTCTAATCATTGTCAGTGATCAGGCCTACCACTGTTGTGTCGTCAGCAATCTTAATGATGATGTTGGAGTCGTGCTTGGCCACCCAGTCGTGGGTGAACAGGGAGTACAGGAGGGTATTTGGTATTTTATTAGGATCCCACTAGCGGTTGCAAAAACAGAAGCTACTCTTCCTGGGGTCCACACAAAACATGACATAATACATACACGTAGCCTACATATCAATACATACATACAAACGATCTTGGTCAAATAGGGGAGAGGCGTTATGCCGTGAGGTGTTTTCAGCTTTAATATTGCAGATAGATTGTAACTTCCATCAATGTAATTGTCTGCATCACTTCCAATCCCCCATGTTTTTTTCTTGCAGATTTTTCTTGTAACTGAGTCAGGTTTGTAGGCCTCCTTGCTCGCACACGCTTTTTCAGTTCTGCCCACATATTTTCTATAGGATTGAGGTCAGGGCTTTGTGATGGCCACTCCAATACCTTGACTTTGTTTTGTCCTTAAGCCATTTTGCCACAACTTTGGAAGTATGCTTGGGGTCATTGTTCATTTGGAAGACCCATTTGCGACCAAGCTTTAACTTCCTGACTGATGTCTTCAGAGGTTGCTTCAATACATCCACATAATTTTCCTTCCTCATGATGCCATCTATTTTGTGAAGTGCACCAGTCCCTCCTGCAGCAAAGCACCCCCACAGCATGAGGCTGCCACCCCCGTGCTTCACAGTTGGGATGGTGTTCTTCGGCTTGCAAGCTATCCCCTTTTTCCTCCAAACATAACGATGGTCATTACGGCCAAACAGATCTATTTTTGTTTAAATCAGACCAGAGGACGATCTTTGTCCCCATGTGCAGTTGCAAACTGTAGTCTGGCTTTTTTATGGCGGTTTTGGAGCAGTGGCTTCTTACTTACTGAGCGGCCTTTCAGGTTATGTCGATATAGGACTTGTTTTACTGTGGATGTAGATACTTTTGTACCTGTTTCCTCCAGTATCTTCACAAGGTCCTTTGCTGTTGTTCTGGGATTGATTTGCACTTTTCGTACCAAAGTACGTTAATCTCTAGGAGACAGAACGCGTCTCCTTCCTGAGCGGTATGACGGCTGCGTGGTCCCATGGTGTTTATACTTGCGTACTATTGTTTGTATAGATGAACGTGGTACCTTCAGGCGTTTGGAAATTGCTCCCAAGGATGAACCAGACTTGTGGAGGTCTACAACTTTTTTTCTGAGGTCTTGGCTGATTTCTTTTGATTGTCCCATGATGTCAAGCAAAGAGGCACTGAGTTTGAAGGTAGGCCTTGAATTACATCCACAGGTACACCTCCAATTGACTCAAATTATGTCAATTAGCCTATCAGAAGCTTCTAAAGCCATGACATCATTTTCTGGAATTTTCCAAGCTGTTTAAAGGCACAGTAAACTTCTGACCCACTGGAATTGTGATACAGTGAGTTATAAGTGAAATAATCTGTCTGTAAACAATTGCTGGAAAAATTACTTCTGTCATGCACAAAGTAGATGTCCTAACTGACTTGCCAAAACGATAGTTTCTTAACAAGAAATTTGGGGAGTGGTTGAAAAACAAGTTTTAATGACTCCAACCTAAGTGTATGTAAACTTCCGACTTCAAGTGTACATACATATATATAAATACATATACACATACATACATATAAATACATATACATACATATACAGTGAGGGAAAAAAGTATTTGATCCCCTGCTGATTTTGTACGTTTACCCACTGACAAAGAAATGATCAGTCTATCATTTTAATGGTTTTTGTGGTTATTCTGTGAGAGACAGAATAACCACAAAAAAATCCAGAAAAACGCATGTCAAAAATGTTATAAATTCATTTGCATTTTAATGAAGGAAATAAGTATTTGACCCACTCTCAATCAGAAAGATTTCTGGCTCCCAGGTCTCTTTTATACAGGTAACGAGCTGAGATTAGGAGCACACTCTTAAAGGGAGTGCTCCTAATCTCAGCTTGTTAACTGTATATATATATATTTTCTTCCACCTTTATTTAACCAGGTAAGGCAGTTGAGAACAAGTTCTAATTTACAACTGCGACCTGGCCAAGATAAAGCAAAGCAGTGCAATAAAAACAACAACACAGAGTTACATATGGGATAAACCAAACATAAAGTCAAAAATACAACAGAAAATCTATATACAGTGTGTGCAAATTTAGCAAGTTATGGAGGTAAGGCAATAAATACGCCATAGTGCAAAATAATGACAATTAGTATTAACACTGGAATGATAGATGTGCAAGAGATGATGTGCAAATAGAGATACTGGGTTGCAAATGAGCAAAATAAATAACAATATGGGGATGAGGTAGTTGGGTGGGCTAATTTCAGATGGGCTGTGTACAGGTGCAAAGACACCTGTCCACAGAAGCTATCAATCAATCAGATTCCAAACTCTCCACCATGGCCAAGACCAAAGAGCTCTCCAAGGATGTCAGGGACAAGACTGTAGACCTAAACAAGGCTGGAATGGGCTACAAGACCATCGCCAAGCAGCTTGGTGAGAAGGTGACAACAGTTGGTGCGATTATTCGCAAATGGAAGAAACACAAAATAACTGTCAATCTCCCTCGGCCTGGGGCTCCATGCAAGATCTCACCTCGTGGAGTTGCAATGATCATGAGAACGGTGAGGAATCAGCCCAGAACTACACGGGAGGATCTTGTCAATGATCTCAAGGCAGCTGGGACCATAGTCACCAAGAAAACAATTGGTAACACACTACGCCGTGAAGGACTGAAATCCTGCAGCGCCCGCAAGATCCCCCTGCTCAAGAAAGCACATATACAGGGCCATCTGAAGTTTGCCAATGAACATCTGAATGATTCAGAGGAGAACTGGGTGAAAGTGTTGTGGTCATATGAGACCAAAATCGAGCTCTTTGGCATCAACTCAACTCGCCGTGTTTGGAGGAGGAGGAATGCTGCCTATGACCCTAAGAACACCATCCCCACCGTCAAACATGGAGGTGGAAACATTATGCTTTGGGGGTGTTTTTCTGCTAAGGGGACAGGACAATTTCACCGCATCAAAGGAACGATGGACGGGGCCATGTACCATCAAATCTTGGGTGAGAACCTCCTTCCCTCAGCCAGGGCATTGAAAATGGTGGGTGGATGGGTATTCCAGCATGACAATGACCCCAAACACACAGCCAAGGCAACAAAGGAGTGGCTCAAGAAGAAGCACATTAAGGTCCTGGAGTGGCCTAGCCAGTCTCTAGACCTTAATCTCATAAAAAATCTGTGGAGGGAGCTGAAGGTTTGAGTTGCCAAACGTCAGCCTCGAAACCTTAACGACTTGGAGAAGATCTGCAAAGAGGAGTGGGACAAAATCCCTCCTGAGATGTGTGCAAACCTGGTGGCCAACTACAAGAAACGTCTGACCTCTGTGATTGCCAACAAGGGTTTTGCCACCAAGTACTAAGTCATGTTTTGCAGAGGGGTCAAATACTTATTTCCCTCATTAAAATGCAAATCAATTTATAACTTTTTGACATGCGTTTTTCTGGATTTTTTGTTGTTGTTATTCTGTCTCTCACTGTTCTAATAAATCTACCATTAAAATGATATACTGATCATGTCTTTGTCAGTGGGCAAACGTACAAAATCAGCAGGGGATCAAATACTTTTTTTCCCTCACTGTAGGTGTTCCTTTTGTCCAGGTGGGAAAGGGCAGTGTGGAGTGCGATTGAGATTGTGTCATCTGTGGAACTGTTGGGGCGGTATGCGAATTGGAGTGGATCTAGGGTTTCCGGAATGATGGTGTTGATGTGAGCCATGACCAGCCTTTCAAAGCACTTCATGGCTACTGATGTGAGTGCTACGGGGCAGTAGTCATTTAGGCAGGTTACCTTCGCTTTCTTGGGAACAGGGACTATGGTGATCTGCTTGAAACATGTCGGTATTACAGACTCGGTCAGGGAGAGTTTGAGAATGTTAGTGAAGACACTTGCCAGTTGGTCCGCGCATGCTCTGAGTACACGTCCTGGTAATCCATCTGGCCCCATGGCCTTGTGAATGTTAACCTGTTTAAAGGTCTTGCTCACATCGGCTACGGAGAGCGTGATCACACAGTCGTCTGGAGCAGCTGGTGCTCTCATGCATGCTTGAGTGTAGCTCGCCTCGAAGCGAGCATAAAAAGGCATTTAGCTCGTTTGGTAGGCTCGCGTCACTGGGCAGCTCGCGGCTGGGTTTCCCTTTGTTGTCCGTAACAGTTTGCAAGCCCTGCCACATCCGACGAGCGTCAGAGCCGGTGTAGTAGGATTCAATCTTAGTCCTGTATTGATGCTTTGCCTGTTTGATGGTTCGTCTGAGGGCACAGCGGGACTTCGTATAAGCGCCCGGATTAGTGTCCTGTTCCCGGAAAGCGGCAGCTCAAGCCTTTAGCTCGGTGGGATGTTGCCTGTAATCCATGGCTTCTGGTTGGGATATGTACGTACGGTCACTTTGGGGACGACGTCGTCAATGCACTTATTGATGAAGCCGGTGACTGAGGTGGTATACTCCTCAATGCCATTGGATGAATCCCGGTACATATTCCAGTCTGTGCTAGCAAAACAGTCCTGTAGCGTAGCATCCGCGTCATCTGACCACTTCCGTATTGAGTGAGTCACTGGTACTTCCTGCTTTAGGAGAGCTTTGTATGAGTCTCTGTGTGTGGAGTAAAGGTGGTCTAGAGTTTTTTCCCCTCTGTGACATTCTGGTAGAAATTAGGTAAAACAAATTGAAGTTTGCCTGCATTAAAGTCCACAGCCACTAGGAGCGCCGCTTCTGGATGAGCATTTTCTTTTTTGCTTATGGCCTTATACAGCTCGTTGAGTGCGGTCTTAGTGCCAGCATCGGTTTGTGGTAGTAAATAGACAGCAAAAAAATATATAGATGAAAACTCTCTTGGTAGATAGTGTGGTCTACAGCTTAACATGAGGTACTCTACCTCAGGCGAGCAATACCTCGAGACTTCCTTACTATTAGACATCACGCACCAGCTGTTATTTACAAATAGACACACACCCCCACCCCTCGTCTTACCAGACGTAGCTGTTCTGTCCTGCCGATCCATGGAAAACCCAGCCAAATGTATATTATCAGTGTCGTCGTTCAGCCACGACTCTGTGAAACATAAGATATTACTTTTTTTTATGTCCCATTGGTAGGATAGTCTCGAACGGAGATCATACAGTATATTTTCCAGTGATTGCACGTTGGCCAATATAACGGATGGTAGAGGCGGGTTACCCACTTGCCGACAAATTCTAACAAGGCATCCGTCCCCTGTATTTCACGCGAATGACGGGGATTTGGGCCTGGTCTCGGAGAAGCAGTATGTCCTTCATATCGGACTCATTAAAGAAAGACAGCGTGTCTTTCGGTTTCAGCCTCTGGGTCTAGGCCTGTCAAGCACACAGGGAAACTAGACTCAATCTATGTTTGTTTTACAGAACAGCATTTAGGAGGGAGGGGAGGGTTTATTGCTGCACCCTCCACCCTCCTCCCACCACCACAGGAGAGGAGACAGATGGCTTCTGCCTGGGACACCTATACTACAGCCAGGAGAGTGTGGCCAGCTAGGCAGTCTCCCCAATGTGATCCTACCCTGTTTATAGTGCACTAATTTAGTTTTGACAAGAGCCCTATGGGTCCTGGTAAAAAGTATTATCGAACAGCTCTAGGCCCGCAATCAAAACAAATAATCCAACTATGAAATAGAATCTGAAAAAAAATGGGAGGTAAGTAAATGGGAACAGGGTGTTAAACAAAACAAGGCATGCTGTTCCACCAGGGAGGGAGAATACCTAGCCTTTAAAAACACTGAGGCATCCCTGTAGACCAGACAGGAGTGGAGGCACTGTAGGCTGCAAGATGGCACACTATGCCCTATGTAGTGCACTACTTTTTACTAGGGCCCATAGGGGCACTATATAGGGAATAGGATGCCATTTGGGGACGCATCCATTGTCTCCGTCCAATCCACTGCCTCTCTATCAAGACACAATCTGTTCACTGTTCTATTCTAGGAGAAGTAGGCTACTTTCATTTCAGATCTCACTAAAACAAAGCCATTCTCTTTATTACTAGGCCTCGTTTTTAAAATGATGTTATGCCTTACTTACAGTTGATATTTTACTGCTTTCTGCACCTCACTCATTTTGATCTAGTTTTTTATTATCCTCTGTTCCTTAATGTAGGAAGAGAATAATCACCTAGCTCTGTTGTCACCTGCCTAAATGATGTGGTGTCTATTGGTTTCAATTGAATGTTTTGGAGTTTACAGCCCTGAATTAGCATGACCAAGGAAAAAGACTAGGGGAAACACTTATGCCTTCATGAATGGTAGTAGTCCTGCCATCAAATGAACAAGATGACTAAGGGAAATCAATTGATGATTGTTATGACTACTAACATCTGAGGACTCTCTCAGAGAATAGCCTAAGCCTACTAAAGACAGTATATTACAAAGAAAGGAAGCATAACTAAAATTGATATTAGGTCCCTATATGGATGGAAACCCTGAGAACCCATCAGGCAGGGCAGGAATGAACTCATGAAAAGGATATGCTATTCTGGCCCTTTGAAGCACAATTTCTGCTTGTTTCTCTCCCTCCTGACGCCACTAATTGTGACAAGTTGCTCTGAACGAAGACGCTGTAATGGTAAATCAAAACCTTCCAGTTTGCTTGGCAACCGGCTCAAACATTCCACACTGGCCACTTGATGAGCCAAAATCCCCCACCCACCCACCAAGAGCTGACCTGGCCTCGGCCCTGATCTTCCCCAAAGAACCTGCATGCTCCCTGGGTTGTAGTCCTCTACTCTCCACAGTCTGGTATGGAGGAAGCAAGAGAGACTTGGCACAGAGACAGAGACCCAAAGCTACAGTACAAACATGAGCAATGGGATAAACACACCACGTAGATGTGGGCAAACTCAATGAATCGATTAGCATTTCAAGTAACACTCACGCAGGACAGAACTAGATCTAAAGACCTCACAGTTGAGGAATGCAGACAAATTAAATCTGTGCAGGAGGGATTGTGGTTAGAACAAAAACTAAATCGAACTAATGTGTAATGTGAGGGGAAAGAAAGAAAGAAGGAGAGAGGAAGAGAGAGAGGAAGAGAGAGAGAGAGGAGAACAAAAGTAAGAGAGAGAGAGGGAAAGGGAGAGAGAGAGGAAGAAGAGAGAAGGAGAGGAGAGGAAGAGAAGAAGAGAGGAGGAGAGAGAGAGAGGAGAGAGGAGAGAAAGAGAGGAGAGGAAGGAGAGGAAGAGGAAGAGAGAGGAGGAAGAGAAGACGAGCGGGTAGAATCAACGGACGGATGGAGGAAGAGAGAGATGGAAGAGAGAAGAGACAGAGAGGAAAAGAATGAGAGAGAGGAAGAGAAGAGGGGCAATAATCGATAGATGGAAGAAGAGAGAGAGGAAAAGATGAGAGCAGAGGAAGAAATTAACTTCGGAGGGATGGTAGAACAAGAAAGAAAGGAGGAGGAAGAAGAGAGAGAAGAGAGAGGAAAGAGAAGGAAGAGAGAGAGGAAGAGAGAGAAGAGAGAAGAGGAAGAGAGGAGAGAAGAGGAGAGAGAGAGAGAAGAGAGACGGATGACGAGTAGATGAGTAGGAGGTTAGAGAGAGGAGAGGAGAGAGGAAGAGCGAGAGAGGAAGCGCGAGAGAGGAAGAGAGGAGAGATAGGAAGAGGAGGAGAGAAGGGAGAGAGGGGGAGAGAGAGAGAGGAGGAGAGAGAGAGAAGAGAGAGAGAGAGAGAGAGAGAGAGAGAGGAGAGAGAGAGAGAGGAGAGAGAGAGAGAAGAGAGAAGAGCGGAGCGGTGAAGGACAGAATTGGTGATTAGACAATACAACGGAAAGGCTATACAAAGGATATGATGGAAGAGTTGGGTTAAGATTTGAGAAGAGGAGGAAACAGAGATGTGGCTTTGGCCAGGCAGTCAGGCAGTGAGTCAGTGTGGAGGAGAGGAGAGCACAAGGTTGGATGTTAGAACATGCTGTAGGCCTGCATTCATATTATGATGCGTTAACAGGTTAGACAGCTTCAAGCTGGTGGTACAAGCTCTACAAGAGAGTGGAGGGGTGAACACAAGTTGAACCCTTAAAAGGAGAATCAGAATCAGAGCACTACCTTCCAAGTCTAACATAGTTGCCATCATGCAAGCCGGACAAAGGTAGGCCAGTTTTGCAGGAACAAAGGTAGGCCAGTTTTGCATGTTCCAAAATCATGAAGACAAAGTGCAAACACCATAGAAATTGATTCACTCGAACGTTCTACTCATTCCAATTCTATGGCGAACACAACTCAAATGGGGAACAGTAAGATAAAGATCATTAATGTCATGTGTATTAAAGTAAAACAAGCCTCTTCCTTCATATACAGTAGGCCTACCCCCATAGATATCCTATTAAATTACTAGAGGGGCTATGTCATAAACCCTCAAAGTTCCAGAATGGGGGAAAAATGGCAGCCATATTGGTCAGGGAGAAATCGGCATTTGCAACTTAATGATATGATGATGATATGCCATTTAGCAGACGCTTTTATCCAAAGCGACTTACAGTCATGCGTGCATACATTATTTATTTTTTTGTATATGGGTGGTCCCGGGGTTCGACCCCACTACCTTGGCGTTACAAGCGCCGTGCTCTACCAGCTGAGCTACAGAGGACCACAACTTGTCTAAGTCCTATCATCAACTGATTTCAGTCTGTGTATGGCTGTGGATTGACTGCATTGTTTGAATGGAATGTTGGCATATTGGCAGTTAATTAAAAAAATTAGTGGAATCATTCATCTAAAACTGTCTAGGTAGCTAACAAACATACAGTATAGCGCAGATACATTCTTCAAATTCATTATTTTACACAATATCTTATCACAGCACTGGCAAGTCATGGTTGACCAACTCCCTGACCAAAATGGCTGACCTTTATCCCATCATAAGGTTCATGTCCATTCTAGTATTCTAATTCCTAATTCTATGTCTACTCCCACATTGTTTGCTTTGGGAGACATGTCCTCACATTACTGATGAATGACCCACACCAATAGAGACTGACAAATGGAGAAGGTAATCGATTTAAGAACAACAATTAGCAGCCATTGAGCTGAGCTGCTCTACGGTCCTGATTGAATTTGTCCTCCCAAGAATCTGTATACACACACACACACACACACACACACACACACACACACACACTTTACACTCCCTGAGAGATGAGTGGAGAGAATAAGAGGGAGAGCAGGGTAGGGGAGTACTCAAGTTGGGCGCTACCTTCACTCACATTAACCTGTGAGGGTATGATGAAACGCAAGACAGTTTACAGAAGGCCCACTAGTAAAAAAAAAAAAAAAAAAAAAAAGCATATATAGATATATATTAATTTTTTTATTCCCCCCAAAGTAGCTTTTTTTTTTCAATAGGTTAGCTCAAATGACAGAGAGACATGAATGAAGGAATTCAGAAAAAGAATGTGAGAACTGAGAATGCTCTTCTGGCAAATAAATAACTTCCACAACCGGACACCATCTGTCTGGCAGTGAGTTATTAACCAAGGCACAGAGCTCTCACAATTAATCACTAGCTCTGAGAAGCTTACATCCATTTCCTGTATACTCACTCAATTCTTAGAGTACAGAATTGGCAGACAGTTGTCTAACATTTACCACTGTGCCAGCTTTTTCAAATATCATCCAATTCACCCTTTATCTTGTTTCCGTCGTTTTATAATTTTCCTATAATTGTTCATGTCCCCCAGACATAGGTCCTACACTAGACCTAGTGCTGAAACACCAGGCGGTCACAAACAGTCACGATTATTTATTGATGTGAAGGTAAAGAATTTGTTTCCACAAACTTCAGAAAGGAAGGAAATGGGACAATACAGGACAACATTTGTTTAAACAAACAATTAGCCTACTGTTGGAAAGGTAGAAGGATGCACATTCTAAAATGGTGACATCATTGCACTGTTGTCAAGGGCATGAGTGTGCAGCAAACTGTTCCCATTGCTCATCTATATGACTCAAGAGGTGGAATGATGTTTACACTTCTGCCTAAATGGCTGACATGCTTTTTTCAGCACCCTCAAATCTCTCCATGGAATGAGAGGCAGAAAGGTGGGAGATCACTTATCTCTAAGGGTGGTTACTGTCATCGGCTCTCTTTGTAATCATTGCCTCTTAAAACATTGCACACTCAGGAGACTCAATGGCCATTGAGTAGGCTTGGGCAGTATAACGTATATACCGTATACCAGGGTATTTGGAAAAAGCCAAGGGATGGTTTTTCAATACCGTCAAAACTATTTATTTGAAGTTTTTCAATAAATGTGATTATTTGTAGCTCCTTTATAAGTTAACATGTGCAATACGTTAGAGGAGATCAAGCAGATTGCATTCTGAATTTCACCTGTCATATTATTTTACATTATGAAGTTTACCGTAGTTCTCCAGAACAGTTGAGCCAGTCACGTGTTTGTAAATAGCACAACGGGAGACGGCGGGAGCTTGTGAGTCCATAGTGTTCTATATCTATCGGCGTGTCTCTGGTGTGCGGCGCACATGAGGTGATGAAGTTACACTTGTATGCAATTCACTACTAAATGTTTGCCATGAGATATTTAAGTGAGAATGCCCTCGAAGACAGTGTTTGGAGGATATATTGGCACGGGTGTTGCTGGCAAACACCAGCTTCGAGGGCATTCTTTGTCTATTGTTATTTTACTGCTGCTCTTTAATTATTTGTAACTTTTTTTTTTTTAGGTATTCTTTCTTAAAACTGCATTGTTGGTTAAGCATTTCACCTGTTGTATTCGGCGCATGTGACAAATACAATTTGATTTGATTTGATTATCACTTTTCTACAACGGGTTACCAACATATTCAAATAATGATTGACATATTTTCATTAAAAACGTTATTTTGATTAATTTATTCATACTATTTTCATCCTTCCACGAGATATAGTCCTGACACAAATCGATGGTTGCTACCCAAGCCGGCTGGTCGCTCGTTCTATCGGTTTTGTTGCCAGAGACGCGACCCAGTCGTTAAGTATTTTTGTTCTGTATTTATGTCGTTCTTTCTAAATGTTCTATTGCAAAACTGGCTGGCAACGTTCTTATCCTTTGCTTGATAGCTAGCCAACTACGGCTAACTTACAGTCAAACAGTGCAGCCAGAATAACAGCAAAGTAGCTGCATTTGTTTAAGCTGTTTTCTAGTGACATTTATTTGGATATATTCATAAGAATGAGCTAATGATGCACGATTTCACCTGGCATAGAAAATATGCGCTCTCGTCAGGACACTGTTGTTCAGAGGAGCTAGCCAACAACACAGCTAACACACTCACTTCAACCTGAAGCTGGAAAGACTGCAAACTAGCTGCATTTCATTTCGTTTGACCTGTTTTCTATTTACATTTCTTTGTATATGTCCATAAAAACGATGGCGAGTCAAGATTTCGACTGGCTGAGAAAAGCTGCCTGCCTGTCTGTCTCATCCCGACTCCCGACCCCTACACGTTCATTACTATGGGACAGCTGGAGATCGAATTTCAATATTGAAACAATGTTGCAAATGTCAGAGCCAGACTGCAAGTTTTATACAAATCTCCATATTGAAAACCAATTGCTAGTCTAAAAAAAAGATAATGTCTAGATGCTTTTTACTGTAGAGATCAAGATTATAAATTGTCTGGCTGGGCTGATCAAATCAAATCAAATTGTATTTGCCACATGCGCCGAATACAACAGGTGTAGACATTACAGTGAAATGCTTACTTACAAGTCCTTAACCAACAATGCATTTTTTAAAGTTTTTTTTTTTTTTTTAAGTGTTAAGTAAAGAAAATAAAAGCAAATAACTAAAGGCAGTAAAATAAAATAACAGTAGGGAGACTATATACAGGGGGGCACAGGCTAGTCGAGGTAATTGAGGTAATATGTACATGTGGGTGGAGTTAAAGTGACTATGCATAAATAATAAACAGAGTAGCAGCAGCGTAAAGGGGGGTGGGGGTGGGGGGGCAGTGCAAATAATCCGGGTAGCAATGATTAGCTGTTCAGGAGTCTTATGGCTTGGGGGTAGAAGCTGTTGAGAAGCCTTTTGGACCTAGACTTGGCACTCCAGTACCGCTTGCCGTGCGGTAGCAGAGAGAACAGTCTATGACTAGGGTGGCTGGAGGCTTTGACAATTTTGAGGGCCTTCCTTTGACACCGCCTGGTATAGAGGTCCTGGATGGCAGGAAGCTTGGCCCCAGTGATGTACTGGGCCTCTGTAGTGCCTTGCGGTCGGAGGCCGAGCAGTTGCCATACCAGGCGGTGATGCAACCAGTCAGGATGCTCTCGATGGTGCAGCTGTATTACTCTTTGAGGATCTGAGGACCCATGCCAAATTTTTTCAGTCTCCTGAGGGGGAATAGGCTTTGTCGTGCCCTCTTCACGACTGTCTTGGTGTGTTTGGATCATGATAGTTCGTTGGTGATGTGCACACCAAGGAACTTGAAGCTCTCAACCTGTTCCACTACAGCCCCGTCGATGAGAATGGGGGCGTGCTCAGTCCTCTTTTTTTTCCTGTAGCCCACAATCATCTCCTTTGTCTTGATCATGTTGAGGGAGAGGTTGTTATCCTGGCACCACACGGCCAGGTCTCGGACCTCCTCCCTATAGGCTGTCTCATCGTTGTCGGTGATCAGGCCTACCACTGTTGTGTCGTCAGCAAACCTAATGATGGTGTTGGAGTCGTGCCTGGCCATGCAGTCATGGGTGAACAGGGAGTACAGGAGGGGACTGAGCATGCACCCCTGAGGGGCCCCCGTGTTGAGGATCAGCGTGGCAGATGTGTTGTTACCTACCCTTACCACCTGGGGGCGGCCCGTCAGGAAGTCCAGGTTCCAGTTGCAGAGGGAGGTGTTTAGTCCCAGGATCCTTAGCTTAGTGATGAGCTTTGAGGGCACTATGGTGTTGAACGCTGAGCTGTAGTCAATGAACAGCATTCTCACGTAGGCGTTCCTCTTGTCCAGGTGGGAAAGGGCAGTGTGGAGTGCAATAGAGATGCATCATCTGTGGATCTGTTGGGGCGGTATGCAAATTGAGTGGGTCTAGGGTTTCTGGGATAATGGTGTTGATGTGAGCCATGACCAGCCTTTCAAAGCACTTCATGGCTACAGATGTGAGTGCTACGGGTCGGTAGTCATTTAGGCAGGTTATCTTAGTGTCCTTGGGCACAGGGACTATGGTGGCCTGCTTGAAACATGTTGGTATTACAGACTAAGATGAGACAATGGATTGCGCAGTGAGATGGAACAGAGTAAATAGGCATTTCAACGTCATAGCTCTAACCGGTGGTAACTTGTGGAATAGACACCAGCTGGAATGCGGTTTTAACCAATCAGTGTCCAGGATTAGACCCACCTGTTGTATAACTTATAATGGCTTTCTGCAAGAAGTCAAAGAGCTCTGGATTGGTTGTCTGTACAGCTCCCATTTTTTCCCTGTGCTTCCTACTAGCGTTTTTTTTTTATCCTCCCCTCTGCTCCGTGTACACATGCTGCTCTTCCTTCAGAAAAGCATGCAACACAACTGTTGATTTGCACAATTTCTCTCGTTCACCTTCGCTTGTAAATGTTCACACTCACCGAAAATGACATTCGGTAGCTACTAGATATGCTTGTATTAATTTGGATTTGCCTGTCTTTGCAAATAGTTTGTTAGTTTTCGCTCGTTAGCATTTATCTAACAGCGTCTATGTGATTACGTTATAATTTTGTTCGCATTCTGGTCCAATGGCCTTTTCTTGCGTTTTTATTGCCCCCTTGTGTGCTAATACCATAAATCTGGTAATACTGTAAATCTGATAATACTGTAAATCTGGTAATACTGTAAATCCCGCGATGAGAGAAGGACGGTACGACAATATGAAAATCTGGATACCAGCCCACCATTGAGAGCCATTTGTCTAGTAAATTCAGTCAGAGAAAAATAACTGACAAGGTCTAGCTAGCTACAGGTATTCGTTTTTTTCATCTTTTATGGTCCATTATTCGGCATATATCAGTTTGAGACAGGAGTGGCCAAGTGTTGTGCGGTAGTGTTGCAGGGCTTGACATTAACTTTTTTATCCACTTGTCCTTCGGAGAAGTAGGACAGATGTTTTATTTGTCTGAAAGCTTAAGTCACTTGTCCCTCAAAAAATGTAATGGTCTGTAACACCATTGGCCAAAAAGGTGACTGTAAATTGTGTTGTATGACTCAAGGATTCACAAAAGAACATTCCTTATTATCACTGGTATTGACAATGGAAGGCTGCTGGTCTCTGATCCCATGTATTATACAGTATCTCCTGCCGTTGTGGCCTTGAGCAAGGAATTTTATTTTTATTTATTTTACTTTACCTTTATTTAACTAAGCAAGTCAGTTAAGAATTCCTATTTACAATGACATCCTACACCGGCCAAACCCGGATGACGCTGGGCCAATTGTGCGCCACCCTAAGGGACTCCCAATCACGGCCGGTTGTGATACAG